CTGGTTCGCAGGGCATTCTGTGGGCATATCGTCGTGCCCGAATGGCTTGGTGGCAACATCGGCACTTCTTGACAGGGGCCCGCCCACCCTGTCAAGCGCCTATTTCCTGCAACTTATCAAATGAGATGGCTGTTCCTCATCAAAATGTGCGTTTATAGTGCTACTGCCTTGTCCGGCTGGTTCGTCCCCATGCGTTCTCTCATTACCTTCTACTTTTATTCACTGCGAGCTAAGACCGTGTCCACACACGCATGGCGAACCGCAGTTCACCAACAGTCTGCAAGATTCCGAAGTTCTTTGTTCGTAGCCCCTCTGTGCTTATAAGCAGAAGTGCTAGGGCTGATCGAGAAAAAATAGAAAACGGCAAAGATATTACCGTCTAGCTCACCCTCGCGGTAAAAGCGGTAAAAAACGAAAATGTTATTTTCCCTCTAGCTCACTCCCGCGGTAAAAACGGCAAAAAACGTTTTTTTTTTTTTTTTTTTTTTTTTTTCAATTTTCTCTGCCAGGGCTGCGAAGCGAAGCCCCTAGCTCAAAACACGCCAGGGCTGCGAAGCGAAGCCCCTAGCTCAAAACACGCCCACGAGCCGGCTTAGGAAACAACCAGGCCAACCAGGAGAATCTATTTTCTACAACAACCAAGAAGAACACCTATGCCCCCCACCATTCGAATTGGGGATGGTCAGATGCTCCGGCCGCACGACCCCACCCCAACCCCCCGCCTGCGTCTGCCAAGGCGCAGCGCTGCTCCAACGGCAGGTCCAAGCCTCCAGCCGCGCGCAAACGGCCCAAACATGAGGCGCGCCGTGGCTGATAGAATATTCATAAGAAACTTATAATATTGATAATAATAATACTACTAATACTAATAATAATAATAATAATAATAATAATAATAATAATAATAATAATAATAATAATAATAATAAAAATATCAATACAACATTGAATGACATTTTGGTATTACTTCTAGAATAGCATCGGCGTCCTTTGGTTTCCCGAAACAACATGGGGTTCCTGAAACAATGACACACTCAGTTCTGAAAATGCCGGGTAGGGCATGTTCTGTGGGCTCCGGTTCGGGACACGGGAAGGCAATGATATGCAGTGGAGATAGGAAACCCATGTGCAAAAACCCAAAAAACATCGGGATGTGAAATCGCAAAATAGGGGGTTTGGACAATCGAAAAGAGTACCCACCCCTCTTGGTTTGCCTGGCAAAACAAACATATGGGGTATTGATCACACCCAGAGTGGGAAACCGGGTTGGGTCGCTGGTTGCATGTCCAAACCATTGTTTGAACCGCGTCCTTTGGTTTCCCCGTGTTTCTACTGAAAGGGACCCAGGGTTGTCTAGACACAAATTGCCAACCCTAGACTACTTTTGCTGGTTGGGATTTCATTCCAAGGGCTGCTCCATGAAATGAACCTCGCCTCGGTACTCCAAGGTATTCCTGGCTCAAGTTCCGATCGGCGTGTAGCAGAGTCCCTAAAAGAAACGGGGCCCGATACCAATGGTTTACCCCGCTTGGGATTTCAATGGGGTTGTTCTCTTGAAAGGTTCGCTTGCTTCACAAATCCTGAAAAAAGAACCATTGCGACCATCCAGACAACTGCTGGGTTGCTGCTATGTTGGGTTGTTCTTCATGAGATTGCGGCCTGGGAAAATAAGAAAGAAAGGATAACAAGTGCCAATAATTATCTTGAAAGAAAACCCAAGCCACAAACTGTCCAGGTGTCCCAGGAACAGAACCTGAGCTTTTGCCCACCAAATAACATGTTCAGGTTCGAACCAAATGCAGTGCACGTTGAATCCCCCAAGACAAGGACTTTGCCAATCTGCTTTGGCTGACCTAGACCTCCTACATGCTAACTCTCTTTGAAAAAATGAAGCGTTGAACAGGTGAAGTCTGTCCAGTGCTTCCAGTGGCACCCAGGGCAGAAAACATGTCGAACGAACCTCCTTACCTTCTAACTGGAGGGTGTCTGGCATCCAGGGCAAAAAACATGTCGAACGAGGCATACCTCCTTACCTTCTAACTGGAGGCCCAGCAAAGAGCACATCGTTTTCGGACATATGTTTGGGGGTGTCCGTTTTTTCGGGGACCCGCAAAATGGTGGCCTTCCTGTTGTTTTGGCGCTAAATCTACGAAACATGGGGTACCCTCAAAAACGACGAGCCACCTGCATCATTCCCCCGAAAGCCGAAAGCCGAGAGCTGAGTGGCCGTATTCCCGCTCGGATGCGCGGATGCGCTCCTCCGCGGAGGTTTGGCAGTTGGGCGCTCACACTCAGCGTGAGGATGTCTTTTTTTGATGGTATCCCTCTTGGTGGCTTTGAAGGCACGGTCCCTGAAAAAAGACAAACCCACATAAACATCGGAGAATCAAAGATATTTAGTTCACAGCTTCCTTCAGCTTTCCAAATATCAGATTGGAGATCGGGAAGTTCGAGGAGAATAAAACAGGCGCTCCCCTCAGGTGCGTCCTGCATATCTTTTCACACTGGAACTAACATTCAGCAAAATGCTCGCCAATATTTTCGCTGGGGCCTGGGCGTTGTTGACTGCCTTGGGGTGTTTTAAGCACATTTGAAACGGCATTCCCCTCAACCGTTTACCACACACGCAGTCAGATCAAACCTCACGCCTTTGTCCCGCCCGACCAAGCAAGCAAGCCATGAGAGGGAACAGAGATAATATCCCTTACCCCTTTTGGCTTCCTTCTGGGAAAACAGTGCCAATGGGCCTTTTACTCACTTCCTGAGATTCCAATCGTGGCATTCAGGGAGTGCCTTCGCACGCAAGAGGCTTTCTGGAAACCAACGGAAGTCTCCGCGCGAGTCTGCGGCGCCTGCAGCCAGGTATCTTGATGAAGCTCAGGTGTCAAGCCTGAAATGAGGCGAACTGATCTTCACGGAGCAGGAGGAAAGTAGATGGCCCGCGTCGAACTCCCCTGCCAAAAGCTTAACTTTCAGTCGGTTACATGGAACCCCCACCAAACACTAAACACCCAAAAACCAAAGGGGACGGCTGCCAAGGCTCCAGTGGGTAAAAAACAGGAAGCCAGAAACATATAGCCAAAACCAAACCTTCGCCCTGAGGGGTACAAGTTTTGGAGACTGAAATGGGTTAGAATGGCATTCGCCCCCCTTTCATGGATCGGTACAATTCCTCCCCAGATGATCCCTAAAGCGAAACACATCAGAAGTTCATTTCACCTCACCTGCAATTAGCCCATCGAAATGTGGAGAGATAACTTTTCCTGGCAAGGAATTTCTGGCACAACTCACCACAAAAAGAAGAAGAAGAAGCAGAAGAAGAAGAAGAAGAAGAAGAAGAAGAGGAAGAAGAGGAAGAAGACGAATACAACAACTCACAAACTCGGAGAAGAAGACACATCCCCCAAGGACCTTCATCATGCTTGATTTAGGGGATCGGTGCTGATCGGATCCCTTGGATCCGATCTGCGCGCGGTACGAGGCTTGTGTTGGGGCTCATGTGGAAGATGGAACCTCCTTTTCGGGTACCCGCTTTCCCACATGAAAGGGAACAGGTGGGCTTTGGAAGTTTATGGTCCTCTTGAAAAGGCACCTTGTCCACTATAGAATTAAAGGCAAACCAAAGCGACGCTATTCATTTTGTTGGATTTGATGATTTTGGGACAGACCCACATGTTCTTTGAAAGGCGCCTGGGAACGATACGAACCAGCACTGGCTGCCAAGATGCCGTACTCGCGCTCGGCTTGGCTGCGCTCCTGTTCTGTCAAACACCATGGACGTGAGGAAGCAAAGTGTCGCCCCCTCAGGAAAGTTTCGAACGGAATCTTCTTACGAGGGCAGAAGCCCGGCGACATGACATTCCGACATGCCGTCATTCATGCGAAGAACCCGGTCGACTCCTTGGGAGTCGCCCTCACGGAAAGGTTCCGAAGGCACGAATCGAACCCTTTGGGGTGGAGAGGCCCTCAAACTGACGGGAAACCATAGCTTGTAGATACAAGGTTTTCGTCAGAAGAAACACATATATATATATACAAATATTATTCAAAAAAAAAGCTCCTGAACAAACTTTGATTGCCCCCTGGAAAAGTGCAACTCTCACTTCTCGCCGCCCAATTTATGCGCTCCAAGGCAACTGGTCACCACAGGGCCGTCCTTTGGACATCTAAAAATATCCCCAGAGTGGCCCAGAGTGACATGGAACCTGAAAACCGTTGGTGGTGGGTGCACCATGTTGGTGTTCCGTGTTGATCTGCGGAGCATCCTCAACCGCGACAGTTCCAGGGTCCAAATATGCCCCCCAGTCAGCCGAAGACGACTGGACATTTTGACCGTTCTTTTCGGGGTATCCGTTTTGGGGGTTCAAAGCTGGACATAGACCCTGCGCAGTGGTCAAACCTCTCTATGTCAGTCATGGCCATGAATCCCGTACTACCCTCTTAAAAAAAGTGGGAGCAAACAGAGACATCTTTTCAGATGATGGCAGTCTCCCAAAACGCTGCCTGTCCACTTCCTCGATTTTTGGAAAGACGTGAGCAACTTGTTGCGAGCGTTGTCAAAAAAAACAAGTCTTCAAGTCTTGGGTTCCGTGACCATCCGAACGAAGCCCAAGGGGTTGTTTGCCCTGGCACCGACCGCCGAACCAAGGGGTCGCTTGACCCGTCGTACACCTGCGACCCGTGCCTGCAGGGCACGTTGTCGCGCCGGGCCTCGAGCGCAGAGCAAGCTATCCAGAGATCTGCCAACCCTTGCCAGTGAAACCAAGCCCACAGCATGACAGGCTTTTTGAACTACACATAGTTGTCCTGACAAGATCCCCTGCAGACCAGTTAGGCGATTTGTCCAATAAGAAAAAAATCCGCTTGTGGCGATGTTGTGCATAAGCCACGACTTCTCGGCCTCACGGCATCAGCTCGTTTTGCGTCGCGGGCCGTGACTCGCGGGGGGCAACTTGTGGCCCAACTCCACGCCTCGCGCCTCGCGCCTCGCGCCTCGCGTCTCAGCGGCTGGCGAGGATGGCTTGGCAGGCTTGCTCCATCATGGCCTGGGATGCCCATAATTACCCCAACTGAGTCAGAATCAAAACCCGGTATTAAAATGGACCCAGAGTCATGTAAGGAAGTACAAAGGCGGCCGCAGCCTTCCACCAAATGCCGATAGGGGACTAGCCAAAACCTATTATTTTCTAGTCTGAGAGATTGCAGACTAATGCGAACCCAGGACAAACAAATCCCTAGCTGGTTGATAGGGGGGGGGTCCCTTCACTTTGGTGGCAAACACCCACCAATATTCCATCCGTTTGATGTATCCCTGGACATGTAGGCTTGACCTAAGCCGTTTCCTCCTATTGACAGGCCTTACGAGCGACCACTCCTTACGTAGGTTCGACACAAGCCATTGTAACAACCCTGATCCTGGACGCACAGTCATTCGGCGGCCCTAGGGAAACACAAACTCAACATGGTAGGAAGTTGGGAACCCAGCTCCAAACAAAACAGGGGTAGCAGAATAATAGCATTTACCTCTTGGGATGGATGGACCCTATGCATAAACCACCTGCAAACTGCGAAGGAGGAAGGAAGTTGCTTGCTGAGGTTCTTGCAGGCGGCCTTCGCACCTATTTGTGGCCCGCGCAGAATGCCCATATTTCTGTCTACCCTACTCCTGTGAGGGCTATAAAAGATCATAAGCCAGCCCTAAGTTCTGAAGTTCGTCTAGCCCAAAAACATACCGCATATTTTCGGAGGCGCCCCGTGGGCCCCCGAGGCCACGTGGTCTCTCACGTTTCCGGCCTTCGTGGCGTTGGGCGCGTTCCCCGTGAAGAGCCGGCCGCTGGGCGTCACGGACTCGCAGGTCTCCCCGGGCTTCTTGCGCTCGTAGACGGCGCTCAGATCCCGGAAGCTCATCCAGGCGCCGTAGTACGACACGAAGCTGCCCACCTGAGTTGAGGTGAGTCCAATACCTCAATCTTTCCTTTTTCCGGTTCTGTTCGGTACAATGCAAACCGCCAGCTTCTTGTCTCAATGGTTTTCCGGTTCTTTGCAGTACAAGAATCTCCTTTTTGAAATTCATCAGTTTTTTTGGTCTGGGTGGTTGGATGGCGGCTTTAGCTTCCCCCAAGCCAAACCGGTGTTCTTTTCAACCATCCTTTTCAATCACCGGCGGTTTCTGCCGGGTTTTCTGGACAGAACGATCCCAAAATGGGGGCATGGGAAGCTTCCTTGGAGCCCGGTGGTTTAGTGGAGAGGGGTTGCTTGCTCTCTAAAAGAACCAGCGGGTCAAATCCCCAATCTACGCCACCAACCAAAAATACGCCGGACGTGGGGAAAAAATGGTAATTGCTACAATCCCACAACCATGCCACCCAAAGGTGGTTTTCTGTTTCGCGGAATTGTTTTCCAGTTGTTTGGTGTATTTTTTTCCAGTTTCTTTTTCTAGACGACTTCGGAAAGATTTTCAGGTTGGTTCCGAAGACAAGAATGATTGCCTCTTCGTTGGACAACGCATCCAGTGGAAGCAGGATAGCACATTCGGTTGGTACATTAGGCGGCAAATAATGGAAGCCTTTTGTTGTCTTATATCTTGTCTTTTGACATTCGTTCGGTACTATGGAAGCAAGCTGTTTCTTGTTGCTTGCGACTAGTGCTATTTCATGGTGGAAATAATGCGGCCATGGATCTAGCTTTGCACGGTGCCAGCCTGTTTTTGTCCGCAACATGAGTTGGAATATGGAAAGCGTAGTTTAGCTGCATTTCGGCCCCAAACAGTTGCTGCGCGAATGATCCGGGCTCTAAATCAGCGAGCAAGGTCTCAAAAGGAGGCGCCATGGCAGCGAGATGTCAGTTTTAGAGTGCGCGCGAGACTTGCTTGCTGGCTGGCTGGCTTGCTTCCTTGCTTGCTTGCTTGCTTGCTTGCTTAAAAAACAATTGTTTGCTTGCATGCTTGCTTGCTGGCTTGCTTCCTTGTTTGCTTCCTTGTTTGCTTGGTTGCTTGCATGCTTGCTTGCTTGCTTTGCTTGCTTGCTTGCCTGTTTGCATGCTTGCTTGCTTGCTTGCTGGCTGGCTTGCTTCCTTGTTTGCTTGCTTGCTTGCGCGCTTGCTTTGCTTGCTTGCTTGCCTGTTTGCATGCTTGCTTGCTTGCTTGCTTGCTGGCTGGCTTGCTTCTGCGTTTGCTTGCTTGCTTGCTTGCGTGCTTGGTTGCCAACTTGCTCCAAATGCTTGCTTGCTGGCTTGCTGGCTTGCTTGCTTGCTTGCTTGCTGGCTTGCTTCTGCGTTTGCTTGCTTGCTTGCTTGCGTGCTTGGTTGCCAACTTGCTCCAAATGCTTGCTTGCTGGCTTGCTTGCTTGCTTGCTTCCTTGCTTTGCCTACTTGCTTGCTTGCTAGCAAGCCCTCGGTTACGGCTAACCCCTTGCTTGCTTCCTTGCTGGTCTAACCAGAAAAAAAATACGCCGAAAAACCGGAAAACAATTCCCCAGAAAATAGGGGAACCCCACCCAAACAGAGGCAGCTTTTTGGGGTACCAGGTAGAATTCCTGTCTGAATTTCAACTCCATTTTTTTTGGGAAGGTTTCCTGGAAACATTCTCAATGAACACCGAGTGGGTTTGCCTAAAGGTTTCTCTTCAACAGTGAAACAATCGACTCTGGTTTGTCTGAGCAACCTGGGACATAGGTTTATGTGAAAGGACCCACCAAAAAAAGGAAGAGAAAGAGCAAAAAAGGAAACATAAGCAAAATAACAAACAATGGTGGGTTTCCATTCCCTGTCTCTTTGAAGACATTCCCATCTGAAAAAGGGCAAGCTATCACAAAGTCATAAAAGAGAAACCATTTGAATTGCTACAAGGGGTCGGCTTCCGCGTTTGCCGAGCGATTTGGAGGCATCCCGGAAACATTGAGAGCCATCCCCAAAACGGTTCCAGAGATCAGGCTTATTTTCGATTAAAGATTCCCCTCTCTGTTTTGGCCAACTCCTTCCCCTATCCCCAAAAACCTCCCAACACAAAACCAACAAACCACGAAGAATTTCAAAACCCCTTGGCCCAAAAGCGCTTCTCAAGCCACCTGACCTCCCACCGCTCCCTCCCCCTTCCCCAAACTCCCCCTCCTCCTACCTCCCCCCCCCCCAACCCCCCACCTACCCCCCCGCGGGCCTGGCCGTCCGCCGGGTGCAGCCACTTGGTGCCGATCAGGGCCTCCGGGCCGTGGCACACCGCGGCGCCCACAGCGCAGCCGTCCACGAGGCCGCGGATAGACGGGTCCTTGAGCATCAGGTACGGGCACTGGCCGCCTCACCAGACGAAGCAAAAACGGCCCACGGCTTTTTTTCTTTTTTTCTTCCTCACTTTCTTTTTGTTTTTGTTTTCTCCTTTTTCGTTTTTCTTTTTTCTTTCCGCTTCTGAAATGACTTTTTTGTGGATGGGACCGCACATGTTTTTGCGGGAGTACTTGGTTGCTTTAAGTGTTTTTGGATGCCCCCCCCCCTCCCCAAATTCTGGGTGGTTTGAAAGGGAAACCACAAGGAGCACCGAAGCCATTTTGAGGGGTTGCCTAAGAAAGGGCACTCACATGTCTTGATCAACAATCCTGGATCTATTCCTGCTCAACCATAGGACAAGACATGCTTTTCTTCATTTTTTACCACGAAGTTTTGAGCCTTCCAAGATCACCTGTCAAGACCAGCCTTGTTGGGAGTTGACAATATGGTTTTCCATGCGGAGCCAGTGAGCGCCATGTATGCGCTAAGCCTTTGGATCGGTTTGCGCAAGCCCACACGAGGAGCCGGAGTTATGAAAGGTGAGAATGACTTGCTTGCTCGCGACCTATTCCCCGTGGCAGCTTCAGGCCTCCTGTGGCAGTCGGGCAGAAACGCAAAAGGAATGCTATTGACAGCCCAGCTTTCCCGCCATCCAAACAGATATTGGGTCATCCCTTCAGCTATCAACCCCCCATCAAACCAGACGACGGTGGCCGGAAAGCATGGTAACACCATGAGTTGGTAGGGCAGCCGCACGCATGCCAGCCAGGACGGGGTGCTTTGTTTAAGGGGCTAACGCGGGATGAAGCGGCCTCACCATTGCATCAGCCATGTTGGCCCAAATTTGACAAGGATCAAGGAACCTCTTGTCCACGTAACCCCGGCTAGTGACAGCGCGAGCCTACCTGCTCCTGGCAGTGCGGTCGAAGCGAAATCTAAGCGAGCAGAGCAGCAGCGTGAGTGCGAAAAGAACAGGCGAGGGAAGAGGCAACGTGTGACCATAAGTCAGGCAGCCCATGCTGGTTTGATGGTGACCATCGAGCGTGCCCAGATGCAGTTGAATGACTGGATAGGTGAAACGGATCACTGGCAAAAACAAGGCAATCTAGAATGGATGGCGCACCAGGCCACAAGGTTGGCATTGGAGAGAAAGTCAATGGCAGCTGCTGACAAGGAGAGCAAGCTTGTCAAGACTTTGGCTAAGCTCAAGTTTCATGAGGATTTGAGGGACTGGGTGCGGCAACTACGGTCTGATTGCTTGCCACCATGGCTCGTGCTTCAAGGGAAGCTCGTGTGACGCCTCAGGTTTTCATCGGGTAGATACTGCCGCTTGAGATGTCCAGTGTCTTTTCGCCCTATGAGAAAAATGCGTGGCGACCACAGCCATGGCATTTTCGTATTTGTACTCATGTGTGGCAAACCAAACAACCAGAGGCACCCATGCAAGGACACTAAACTTGTTTGACCTTGAGCCATGCTGCCTTGTCTTACAAGAACCCCGAGTGTGGTGACCGAGAAGCAACCAGAAGTGCCCGTGCAAGGACACCAATTTCGATTGAGTTTGAGCAATGTTTTGTTGTCTTCCAGGAGCCCCAAATGCAGTGACCGAGAAGCAAGCAGAAGCACGCGTGCAAGGACACCAATGTAGTTTGACCTTCAGCAATGTTGTGTTGCTTTGCAGGACCTGTAAGTGTGGTGGTGACCAAGAAGCAACCGGGGGCACTTGTGCAAGGACACGAAAATTGTCTGACCCTTTGCTACATTGCCTTGTCTTGCAGGAGCCCCGAGTGTAGTGAGAAGCAACCAGAAGTACCCGTGCAAGGACACCAACGCTGTTTGACCTTGAGCCACTTTGCGTTGTTTTGCAGGGTCCGTGAGTTTGGTGGTGACCAAGAAGCAACCGGGGGCACTCGCGCAAGGACACGAAACTTGTTTGATCTTAAGCCACGTTGCCTTGTCTTGCAGGAGCCTTAAATGCAGTGACCGAGAAGAAACAAGAAGCACCCGTACAAGGACACAAAGCTTGTTTGACCTTGAGACATGCTGCCTTGTCTTTCAGGAACTCCGAGTGTGGTGACCGAGAAGCAACCAGAAGCACCCGTGCAAGGACACCAATGCTGCTTGACCTTTAGCTATGTGTGCCTTGTCTTACAGAACTCCGAGTGTTGTGACCGAGAAGCAACCAGAAATACCCGGTTGAGGTTGAGCGATGTTTTGTTGTCTTCCAGCATCCCCAAACGCAGTGACCGAGAAGCATCCATGCAAGGACACCAATGCTTTTTGACCTTCAGCCATATTGTGTTGTTTTGCAGGGCCCGTGAGTTTGGTGGTGACCGAGAAGCAACCGGGGGCACTTGCGCAAGGACACGAAACTTATTTGACCCTGAGCCTTGTCTTGCAGGAGCCCCGTAGTGACCGAGAAGCATCCAGAAGTACCCGTGCAAGGACACCAATGCTTTTTGATCTTCAGCCATATTGTGTTGTTTTGCAGGGCCCGTGAGTTTGGTGGTGACCGAGAAGCAGCCGGGGGCGCTTGTGCAAGGACACGAAACTTGTTTGACCCTGAGCTACATTGCCTTGTCTTGCAGGAGCCCCGAGTGTAGTGACCGAGAAGCATCCAGAAGTACCCGTGCAAGGACACCAATGCTTTTTGACCTTCAGCCATATTGTGTTGTTTTACAGGGCCCGTGAGTTTGGTGGTGACCGAGAAGCAACCGGGGCACTTGTGCAAGGACACGAAACTTGTTTGACCCTGAGCTACATTGCCTTGTCTTGCAGGAGCCCCGAGTGTAGTGACCGAGAAGCATCCAGAAGTACCCGTGCAAGGACACCAATGCTTTTTGACCTTCAGCCATGTTGTTGTTTTGCAGGGCCCGTGAGTTTGGTGGTGGTGACCGAGAAGCAACCGGGGGCACTTGTGCAAGGACACGAAACTTGTTTGACCCTGAGCTACATTGCCTTGTCTTGCAGGGGCCCCGAGTGTAGTGACCGAGAAGCATCCAGAAGTACCCGTGCAAGGACACCAATGCTTCTTGACCTTCAGCCATGTTGTGTTGTTTTGCAGGGCCTGTGAGTTTGGTGGTGACCGAGAAGCAACGGGGCACTTGTGCAAGGACACGAAACTTGTTTTACCCTGAGCTACATTGCCTTGTCTTGCAGGAGCCCCGAGTGTAGTGACCGAGAAGCATCCAGAAGTACCCGTGCAAGGACACCAATGCTTTTTGACCTTCAGCCATGTTGTTGTTTTGCAGGGCCCGTGAGTTTGGTGGTGGTGACCGAGAAGCAACCGGGGGCACTTGTGCAAGGACACGAAACTTGTTTGACCCTGAGCTACATTGCCTTGTCTTGCAGGGGCCCCGAGTGTAGTGACCGAGAAGCATCCAGAAGTACCCGTGCAAGGACACCAATGCTTTTTGACCTTCAGCCATATTGTGTTGTTTTACAGGGCCCGTGTGTTTTACAGGGCAGGGCCCGTGGTTTTACAGGGCCCGTGAGTTTGGTGGTGACCGAGAAGCAACCGGGGGCACTTGTGCAAGGACACGAAACTTGTTTGACCCTGAGCTACATTGCCTTGTCTTGCAGGAGCCCCGAGTTGAATCCAGCGGTGGAACCCGAGGAACACGGGGTCGTTAAGAATGGACGCCATGTCGGGCCACGCTATGTTGTGAAAATCCAATCTGGGGAAGAGGCTGCGAATTGCGCCAACGACTGCTGCCTGGGAAAAGGATGAAAAGGGCGCAAGCGAAGATGACACTGTTCGCACGCCTGCCGCCAATCCAGCAACGCGGGCAGTTGCGCGCGCTCCTGTGGCTGCGAGCTACAACGGACTTCTTCCCAGAAGAAGCTTGCGAGAGCATCAGCGTGGCAGTGCGTGCCGACAGGGCAGTCGCAGGCCAGACGCTTGCCCCGCAGCTCGTGCAACTGCTGCTTCAAAGGGGCAGCTTGCATGTGCCTAATGTACTGGACGAGCACCTCAGCAGGAGATCCGTGGCGTCCAACTTCGAAGGGGCAGCGCCATTTGGTACAAGGCCACCGGTGCGAAAAGTGGCCATAACCAACGTACATTACGTCTTCAGGCAGTGGCTGCCCTTTCACAAACACATCCGCGGCTTGCGTACGTCGAGGGACTCCATGTTGCGCCGCTTCGGGCGGGTAGAGTCCGGTAAACAAGGCCACAGGTGTCATGGCGTCGCGCCGGAATGCTCTTGATGGCATGGCCAACCACGAGCGGCGATCTCCTGAGGGCTCAATGGGTGGCAGCCGTGAAATTTTCATCGTGGCCCACCCGCGCCGGCCACTCTCCAGCCTCATGCTGGTGGGCACAGACCAGGAAGCCAAAAACACCTCGCAGGGGTCGCACCAGTGAAGGCTTTGGCGTGGGTTCTCGCGGAGTGCCCCCCGGGAGTGAAGGTTCATGACGAATTGGACTGCTAAAAGGAAATCCGAATTCTCATTGTCAGCTTGCACCTGGGAAGCAAACCGGCCCGTCAGGTGGGGCAGCCCTCGGGGCCAGGCCTCTGTCCGAAGGAGTGGTTCACGAGCACTGCCTGGCATGCGGCTCTCGCGGCGGCGGCCCTTGGTGTTGCTTTCCATGTTAGCTGCAACCAATGTGACTGAAGGCAATAGCTTGGCAATGGCTTTTTGAACCTCATCAGAAATTATTGGCACGATCCAATGGTTGCACAACTTTCCAACCAGCCCAATCAAACGCACATGCCAGCAGGCCGCAAGGACCCGACAACAAGTCCATAAAGACCGGCACAGGGTTTTCATCCGCGTGCAACTGCGCATCACGCCAAGAATCCAAAAGATGAGCCACACACTCTGGAAAATTAGTTTGCAAAACTGCCTCAGAGTATCCAAACTGCTGACTGCAGACACCCTGCGGCACACATGCCAGACTGGCATCAACCAGCGGTGACACCGCAAGAGCCTCCGGCTCTCACTGCCGCGACTTGGCATCGCATCGTGGGAATCCGTGCTTGGTGCTGCCGCACACTCTCCCGCTTGGTCACTTCCTGTGGTGGATGCGC